ATCCTGGATGAGTGAGAGGCCCGGAAAGAGAGCGAGAGAGAGGTAGAACTCCTAGAGTCTGAGAGAGTCCTCAGAAGAGAATTCCCAACTTCCCAATTAACCCTCATCTATATACCGGTCGTGATGTCGCATGATCTGGAATACTCCAGTGGCCAATGTGGCCCTCAATCCTAAGTCTAAGGTCGAATCCTAAGGGGAGTCGTGGGCCCTTTGTCCCCGCTGTGCTCCTGCACACCGGCAAAACACGGGAAGCTGATGTCTCAGCACCGACTCCAAACATCAGTGCGCTGCCAACGTTCTTCTCGTTCAAATCCCAGACTAAATCCAAAGCACGGAGCTCTTCTGGGTGCTCTGCTAAAACCAAAAACTAACTCAGTCCCAGCCGAAACCAGGGCATGGAGCATCCCAGGGAGAAGATTATTTCTGGAAAATGTTTCCATCTGGGAAAGAGTGAACTTTCTCACTAATTAAAGCAAAGCTCTTTCCTACACAGAACCACATGAATAGTCTTGGTCAAAAGCTGGAATTCCCACTGGGAGTGGCATGGTGCCAGGATCCTAGAAGTTTTAGGAGATGCAGCTAGGAGAAGAGGCTGCATGTTTAGATTCTCATGCTCAGCTTTTGTTAGGAAGTTTTCACTTAAAAAGAAAAAAGGGATTTCGAGAAGTACTAATCTTTAAGTATTAAGCTGTGTGGACTCCTTTAAGAGATGAGCTTCCTCAGTTAAATATTGTTAAAGACAAATAAGAGTAAGAAAGAGCTGGGGTTTTTGACATTAGTTTGCATTCTTTCATTTTGGAAAATGGAGGGTTCAGTGTCATTAGCTCTGCGGGGTTCCATTCTTGTGGTTCTTCAGAGTGAATGTGCAGATTTTTATTTTACGTAGTATTTTAAATTTTTCAGAGACTCCTTTTTATCAAGGAAGCGGATGAGGGAAGGGTGGAACAATGAAAGCTTTTGACTCTTTTTAAATGCTACTTCAAATGTACACTGACTGATGAAGGTATTCTAGAAAAAAATGAGTTAAGCTCTTTTTGAAGGCTGACACTAAGTGTTTTCGATTGACAGGTTGTTCATGGAAATCCTGAAGTATTGTACAGACTGTGATGAAATTCAGTTTAAGGAGGATGGATCGTGGGCTCCGATGAGGTCGAAGAAGGAGGTGCAGGAAGTAACTGCGTCTTACAATGGAGTTGATGGTAAGTCATGTTTTGGGATGTCTGGACTGAATGTCATACTTCTTAAGTATTGATGTTCCTTTAACTTTTCAAAATGCTTATTTTTGCCTGCGTGTTCGTAGCTTTTAATGATCATTTGTGAGAAGGATCACTTGAGTAATAACAGTTCGGGGCTGATGATACTTGTAATATCAACATGATGTAATTTTGCTGTCTTTTATTCTAAGTTGTAAGCTTTATTTATGAAGGCATATCATAAGCTGGGATGTTATGATGATTGCAGTGTTACTGTAAGCTACAGCTTATAATGTTGACTTACTTTGTATAGGATGCATAAGCTCCTCCTTGGAACATCAAGTGTCTTCTCACCAACAGTCAAATAAAAATAAGAAAGTGGAAGTGATTGATTTAACCATTGATAGCTCATCAGATGAAGAGGAGGAGGAACCACCTGCAAAGAGAAACTGTCCTTCCATATCTCCAGCATCACCGTTAAATAATAAGGGGTAAGAATAAAATATGCAGGCTGATGCAGAGGGAATATGCTCACGACGGAGAGTAGTAACACATTGGAAAAGAAGTTGGATCTAGAAAGTTCTGTATTTGGGTTAGATCCTGATTTAGTATCTCACAGCAAATGGATTTGACCTCAGGTCACAGGGCCTGGAAAAAATTGGAATAACAACTTTGATTTAAGTGTGTAACACGATATGGTTTTAAAATTGTATTTGTACTAATATTTGTGAAAATGAGTATTAAGTGGTGCAAAAGGTTGTGACTTAGAAGTATATTTTTTGCAGATTTGGAAATGTTTTTCTTTCATAGGGATATATGGAAGCAGCAACATACGGAGAGAGAGAGAGAACAATGAGAAACATGGGTGTGTTGTGGGAGTGTGTGGGTTTTGCTGGTGGTTACTGCCAGTAGCCAGTAATAGAGAGTGCTGGAATAACCTGGTTACACCTGAGCAGCCAAGCTGGTAATAGCACCCTGTTTGCTTCAACATGTAGGGATGCAAACCAAGGCTGAGCCAAAGGGATCCTGTTGTTGAACTGATTATTACTCCAGTAATGTAAACGACTCGGTGATCACTTAAAACTCTCCAAAAACCTTTTTTGGCTGTCTTCTGTTGCTGATTACCTTGTAGAATGTATCTTCTGTGCTGTTACACAGATTTATGCCTTTTTGGGGGTTCAGTATATACCTTTAGGATTGTCTTGTCCTGGCTTAGGAGTGTTTGTAACATATTGTAGCGGAGGTCCCAGTACCATTTATATCGAGAGCGTCAATTTCTGCTATTTGAGAGACTGAGCTTTCCTTTGCTTTTAGTTTTGCTAGACTTCAGCTTTTGGGCTGCATTAACTTTTCTGATAAAATATGGTTGTGAGAAGAAAGCTTGAGGAACGTGTGATGCTCATGTCTCTTCTGCCCCTCCCTCCCACCTCTTCCCAGTCCCTACAAGACTCTTTGAGCTGCTGTAACATCTTCGTGCTTTCTAGTGAAGCTTTGAAATTTAGTAGGGAAGCAGTTGTTGCACACCTGTCACAAAGTTCATAATATGTGTGGAAGGGTTGTCTTTGTGTGAAATTTGGAAGTGGGCATACCCTGCATGGGACAGCAGTAGAAATCTTCAAATGCTGTTCTTTTAGCATTTAAGCCAAGACTGTATTTTATGCTTGTAACAAGCCTTTGTTTCTTCCAGCATTTTAAATTTACCCCATCAAGCATCTCCTGTGTCAAGAACACCGAGCCTTCCTGCTGTTGACGCCAGCTACATCAATACATCACTTATCCAAGACTACAGGCATCCATTCCATATGACACCTATGCCTTATGACTTGCAAGGTGAGCTTCTGGCAGTTCCTAGCTGTAAGTACAGCTCTCCAAGCAATACTAACTATTATAAAGTGATTTAAACATGCAGTCGTTTGACAGTCCAGTAGCGCAAAACATTATTTTGCATCCACAGAGATGAGGTGATATTAAAAAAAAAAAAAAAAATTAGGTTAATATCTTAAGGTTTTAAAAGGTTGATGTTTTGCAAGCTCCGGTGGTGAAGAGAGTCTGAAGCGTCACCAGTATTACGCTGGTTTTATTTCAAAATAAATGGTGTGAAAATGGAGAGGTGCTTTTTTGTTTCGAGAAGCTTAATTGTTTTTCTTTGGCTCTTTACAGGTTTAGATTTCTTCCCTTTCCTGTCAGGAGACAATCAGGTAAGTCAAGGAAAATCAAGTCATATGGCAGATACTCTTTTCTGAGAAGGACTTACTGACAGGGATGTATAGGCAAGGAAGCAGCAGATGTGTGATGTGGGTGTAGATGCAGGCAGGCTGCAGCTTTATTTTATGCAGGTAGAAACTGTGACCAAACATAAGCATTGTCTAAATACTGGTGCAGGATAAGGTGTAGCAGAAGATACACATTTCAGTTTCCAGGGGTTAAGCTCAGTCGGACACTATTGTGTTGTGGAATGACCATCAGCTGTGGCTGAAGGTCCACCAGCCACCTCCATAGTTTTTCCAAGCTGAGGTCTGACTTTGGCCATCTGACCGTGCTGGGCCCCATCGCTGGGACTCTTGACAGTCCTTTACACAATTTGGGGAGTCAGGGGCAGCTCTCTGTTTTTTCTGAGCCTCTGTGCCTGTGCATACCATGTTTGCCACCTTTCCGTAAGTGCTTGTTGAAATGGGTTATAGTGGTGCTGGCTCCTCCGGTTTTGGGAACTAAACAGGTCGTTCTCCAAAGGAGTCTGGGTTGGCAAGTTCTCCCACTTGATCACTTTTCATCCTGTGCCTCCAAGAAAGGAAGGGGGCTGGGGTGCCTCAGCTGCCCTTTTCCCTTCGTGTCCGTTCTGCAGTCTCGAGTAGGAGAATTGCACTAGATGTAGAGGGATGCCTTTGTATCATAATTAAGACCAGAGTCTACAATGTAGAATTTGGATTCAGAAAAGCCATCTTGATACTCAGTGAAACACAGAGAAGAGAATTATTCTGAAGCAATAAGAAATCTGATGCTGCACTGATACGGTGTAATTATACCAGTACGTAAATGCTGGGGAACAAGGCTGAGCAGCCTCTGTGTGTGTGTGTGTGTTCCATCAGATACTGGAAGGAAACATTGAGAGCAAAATGACCCTGTGCAGAGGTTGTATTTAAAATCGAGTTCTTGGCAGCTCAAGTTCTTGGCTTTCAGGGCTGCCAACTGGGGACAGCCCCTGCTGCCCCCTGATGCGACTAAGCACGCCATTTCTAAACGCCTTTTTCACAGAAATGTGCTTTCCTCCACCAGCAGTGATTAGCACATAGTTTCACCAGCTCTGGTTGGTCTGGGACTTTTGAGCGGAGGAGAGGGATGGCAAAATGTTTCTTTGAAATTTGGGGAATTTTTCCACCAAGGAATTTTTTGAAGAGGTAAAAAGAGTGCTGCTTCTTACCCTTTCTTACCGTTTTGGGTGTCCTGCGATACTGTTGCCTTTCTAGTGTTTGCTCTTACTAATACCAGTATTTCCAATTTCTTCTGGCTTCAGAAATGAGGGGCTGCAGAGGTAAAAGCTCACTGCGTCGGCCCACTTACCTTACAGAAAGGTGGAGTAGACGAGCTGGTGTGAAATCCAGCAGCTGTCAGAGCTTTAGCTTACAAATACCTTCTTTTGTGCTGCTCTGAATCCCAACTCTGGTGTCTGAAATGTAACTTGCAAATGTTGTTTTTCCCCCCCCAGCATTACAACACCTCCCTTCTTGCCGCTGCCGCGGCGGCGGTTTCCGCATCAGATGATCAAGAACTCTTACACTCTCGTTTTTTCCCATACACTTCATCTCAGATGTTTCTCGATCAGCTGAATGCAGGAGGAAGCAGTTCTCTGCCGGCCACAAACGGTAGCAATAGTGGCAGTAACAGCAGTCTTGTTTCCTCCAACAGCCTGCGAGAGAATCATGGTCATCCAGTTGCAAGTAGGAGCAGCACGGACACGGCGTCTATCTTTGGTATCATACCAGACATTATTTCATTGGACTGAGTTTTTGGAGAAAACGAACTCGTCAGAGGAAATCTTTGTGCTTGGTTTTACTTTATGTTAGAAACATAGACAAGTTTTTTTTCCTTTTTTAGGGAAAAAAATTTATGTGTACAGAGAACAAAAGTATATTTTCAGTTTTACTTTTGTATATAAACCTAAGATGGCCTCACTGGTGAAAATAAGAAAAAAAAAACCACAAAACTAAAAAAAAAATAACAAAAACAAGGAGCTTCAGTTCATTTTTATGGATGTTGAAGACTTTACACCTGTGCATTTGTCATATGAGTTACTTTTTTTTTTTTCCCTCATACTTTGGACACAAATGGCATTATTTTATTCACAGTAACATAAACAGGAAAGAAGCTGAACTTTTAAAGTTCAAACATGTGAGAGGGTTTTTTTTCTCCTCTTGGAGACTGTACGTTTGGTGGAATCTAATTGCCCCATCCCATATTTAGTGCAGATTTTATTATGCTTAAGGTGGAATAAACCCTACCCAAACTGTTCCACAGCATACCCTCTGTTTGCAGGACATAGCCTTTCAGGAGTGGGTTTGTTTTTTTGGGAATTTTTTTTTTTTTTTGTCATTTCTGGTTCTACGTGACCCTCTATTCAGAAGATTTGGGTTTTTTTTTTTAATTCCATGCTTTAATCAGGCATGTTGCAAGCTCATTAGTGCACCAATTACTCTCGAGGGCCAGACTCCATAAAATCTCAGGCTGAGGATTTACTTGGCTGTGCTTCTGTGGGACAGACAGAGAATTTTTATAGACTCTAGCCCCAAATGAAAGCAGTGACACGTTGGACTGTAGGGTTTTGTTTCTAAGAACTTACTATGAAATCCTTTTAAAATAACGTTAAGATCCTAATCAGCAAAATATTAAGCATGTGTCAGTTTGAAATTTGTGGAACTGCTTGTGCTTTGAAGTTAGCCACGCGTGTGTAAATGGCCTCTTGAATCGAGGCCTCTCTTATTCTGGCTGGAGAAACCTACTTTTAGCTGCAGTAGATCAAATTTCTGCTTAAAAATGAACTTGTCAACAAAAGGAAGAAAATACAAATACCAACACACTATTGCATGGTTTGTGCAGCTGATAATGGTCTTGGTACACTGTCTTCTGAGTTCACTTTCATCAAAATTAATATTAAATGTGCAACGTGAGTCTCTTAAACCAAAAACCAACCCAATAAAAAGCGCCCTACCCTGTAGCCCGTGCACTCAAATGTATTGCTACCTATTGAAGTCTCTTAGGGTTGTGGGTTTCAAAATTCAGTTTTCTCTTTTTGGCCTTGTAATTATTTTGATTTCCCTGATTTTTCAGTACGCTTATGTCGAACTTTGAGCCATATTTACTTCCTGATTTCTTTTCTCTCTCTTTTTTTTTTTTTTTTAAAGTTGTGCATGACATAGGAAAATCTTTTTTTTTAGAACTGGTGGGTCATTTGGGCTGATCCGTTCTTAATAAAGAGTGAAATATGTAAATAGCTGGAATGCAGTTTTTCAGGAGATTCTTTAAAGTAAGAGAAGGGGGAGGGAAGGAGGTGATTCTCTTGTGTCCCAAAGTCCATGTCAGAGAGAGTAAATATTTCCTCTGATGTGAAAAATATTTTTATAACTGGTTGAAAGTGCAGGTAACAAGTTTATCAGGAAGAGAGAGTAAGGAATACTAAAATTAGCAGATTCTTGTCTGAATTTTTAATGTCCAAAACTGTTGGTTGCAACTAGTTGCTTTGAACATTGACAAGGGCCACCTTTTGCCTATGAAGTTGTCTCAAAATCTTGCATTGATTAAAAAAGAAAAAAAAAAAGAAAAAAAAAAAGGAAAAAAAAGGAAAAAAAAAATCTTTAATCCAAGTAGCATTAGGTATTGCTGTATGATCAGTCGTATGGTTATTTGAAAGGTTCACATTATGTGGCATCAAAATCGTTTTTAGTGTTTTTACAGCATCCCTCTGCCACTAAATAGTTGACTTGAATTTTGAAAACAAATGTTTGTGTTTATATGTATATGTGTGTGTATATATGTATTTATAGATCTGTGTGTGTGAGTTAAAAGTGAGTTAAATAGTTTTTCCCATGCATGTGTATTTCATACATATCTGGCTGATATATATATTTCACCATACACCAATTTTATAATTTATTAAATGTCAGTTAAAAAAAAAAATAAATAAAAGGATAGAAAATGGGAAATACTTATTTTTTAAACTCAAGTCTGATTTTGAAGTGATGAAGCCTACACTAGGAATATATCTCCTACATTTTAGTCATGAATACTAACCTGGTAACTTCAGAGCATATGCTTTACTACCGTTTGTAAACCTGGAGTCCGCCTGCCGCCGGTGTCAGCGGGAGCGCGCGTTATCCCCGCGTCCGGAACGCCCCGGAGAAACTCGGGAGAGCTCGTGGCCCTTTCGCCGACGACTGTGTCGACGTTTCCGTTGACTGTGTTGTTACAGATGACCTGAAGAGCAACTCGTGTCGCTTCTGGCAACGGTATTAAAATCTCGGTAATTAACCGATGAAATGAAACGTGGCGAGCGGGTGGTAACACGGAACCCGGCGTCTTCGTGCCTGTCGTAGCTTCTGGAAGGTGAGGTCAGCTGATGACGTCTTCCATTTCCTCACGAGGGACCCTGACGGGGAGGAAGGCCGTTCAGTTCGCCGCTGTCGTTTTTTAACCTCATTGCTCTGCAAAGAAGGGACAGAAAGGTTCTGAAGTCCTCCTTTGTGGTGTGACTCCCATGTGCTTTGTGAGTATTCCTGTTTCCCGCTAGGGTGTTCCTTATAGCCCATAATTCTCTGTGCCTCTGACCACAGTGAACATTGCTTGGTAGAAGTCTCAGTCTTGAGTTCTCGACAAGTTCCCCGCGAGCGTCGCTCCGAAGCTCCATCTCCCTTAGTTTGCGTGTTGTCCAGGATGCAGGGGGGCAGCCCAGGGTGCCCTGGCTTGCGGCGCGGCTCCGTTCGCCGCCGGTGGCGGAGCTCCTGCCATCCTTAGGCCAGTGCTCTCTTGTCCTCACCTTCTTCCCCTGGAGGAGCAGGGTGTGCACACACGTGTCCGTGTTACGTGCGTCCGTGCACATGGATACGAGCACGGAGCTGCTGTTTGGATGGCTGGGTGGAAGTGGCTTTGAATCGCTCTTGAGAGCGTGACCGGTGCATCCTTTAGAAGAAGAAAAAACGCGCTCAACGAAAACCTGTGCCACACAAAAACTTGGTAGCACTTCCATAACTATAGAACAGCAGCTCCAGGCTTGCCCCTTCCTCTCCATGGTCATCCTCCCAAGGACGGGATGACCGTTAGGTGTTCAGTGGACTCCCTTGGACCTGCCTCCCAACGCAGAGCTGAGGACTGTGAGGAGAACGTTTTGAAAATTAGTTCTTTGTTGCAGTTTAACATTTCAGGGTTTTAAGCACATTTTAAATAGAAAGGATTTTGGTTTGTCAGTGTAACTTTTTTTTTTCTTTTCGTTTTTTTTTTCTTCTTTTTTAACAGAGCTTAGATTTCTAACAAGGGAAAATTGCTGGTGGTCCCCGAAAGTGCTGCTGTTAATTGTTTTAATTAACAAAGGGAAAAATGTATATAAGCAGAATATTAAAAATACCATTAATTCCATGAATTTAAATCTGTCATTCATTGCCTTAAAACTTTCTCTTAGTTTCCATACGGCATGCCAAACCAGTAAATGGCTTTTAAAAATGTATAGTAGACCAATGTCAGTTTGTATAAAAGTACCAAGTGAAAATATTTATTATATGCATTGGAAAAAAAAAAAATGGTTTACCTATTGAATGTTACCTGTTTATGTAGAAATCTTTAGATGTAATAAAAAGCATTCAGTTACTTTGTGTTTCCTGGGGTAAAAAAAAAAAGGGGAGGAGGGTGTTTTCTGTGAATCCGGAGTTGCAAACTGGTGGCTGACTTTTATCTGGGTAATGTTTACCCACCCAGAGCGGGGAGAAACTGCTTGTTGGGATACAGGTGTGTTCTGGAGTAATCCAAAGTGGTTTTGAGCTCATCAGTCCCGGTGACATACAAGCTTTCGTGTTGTCTGCAGCTGAATGGATTTGTTAATCAACTGTTCTGGTCAAGAGGGAAGAGTCAAGCTGTGTATTGGATCATTTGGAATTTGGCTATTGATGCATATTGGAAACAAATGCTTCTAAATCAACTCCTTGTTTCATGAGCTAATTACACTCATGCTCCAAGCAACCGAGGTTTTTCGCTTGCCTTCGTCTCTGGTACTGCTGTAGCAGAGGTCTGGAGCAGCTCCGGTGGGCAGGAACCGAACGCCCACGCCGTGGGCAGACCTCCAAAGGCTCAGCCTCAAGGTAGGTCATTCTTTCTGTCCCAACATTGAGATTTAACTGTGAACCGTGGTAAGAGCCAGCCGTGTCCTGGGCTGCATCCAACAGCAGCGTGGGCAGCAGGGCGAGGGAGGGGATTCTGCCCCTCTGCTCTGCTCTCCTGAGATCCCACCTGGAATACTGCGTTCAGCTCTGGGGTCCCCAACACAAGAAGGACATGGAGCTGTTGGAGCAGGTCCAGAGGAGGCCACGGAGATGATGCGAGGGCTGGAGCACCTCTGCTCTGGAGACAGGCTGGGAGAGTTGGGGCTGTTCAGCCTGGAGAAGAAAAGGCTCCAGGGAGACCTTCCAGCACCTCCCAGTGCCTAAAGGGGCTACAGGAAAGCTGGAGAGGGGCTTTGGACAAGGGCATGTAGTGATGGGACACGGGGCAATGGCTTTAAACTGAAAGAGGAGAGATTTAGATTAGATCTAAGGAAGAAATTTTTCACTCTGAGGATGGTGAGGCACTGGCACAGGTTGCCCAAAGAAGCTGTGGCTGCCCCATCCCTGGAAGTGTTCAAGGCCAGGTCGGATGAGGCTTTGGGCAACCTGGTGTAGTGGAAGGTGTCCCTGCCCATGGCAGGGGAGTTGGAACTGGATGGTCTTGAAGGTCCCTTCCAACCCAAACCATTCTATGATTCTATATAAAGGGTTACAAGGGGAATCCTCTTCTGCTGTTAGTTGGAACCTGTTCTTGGTTCTCCTAGTGAATCTTTTCTCTATTTCCCTGTATGCTGTTTTTCTGGAGTGTTGGCTGAGCACTGAGCTGCTTGTAACTCATTTTCAGCGAAACAAGGTTTTCCTGGTGTATTTTCTCTCCGTAGAGTAGGAAGAGCTAATAAAGAATTGAAGGATGCAGTAGACAAGGTATGTCAGTTTTAGCTCGAGCAAAGTTCATTTCCCCTGGAAGAGTGATCCTTTGCTGTTCAGAGGCCCTTTGGCTGGTACCTTGGCATGTCAGGATCCAAGTCAACCTGGCACTGCTCTGCTGGGAGAAGCTCAGGCTCCGCAGCGTGGCTCTCAGGGAGGTTGGGCACAAAACTGCTGTTTGAAAGCTGCGTCCTGCATCTGCTTCCATTCCTTGCGTAGCGTTCAGCACGTCGGTGGTGCTTGTTTTACCCCCGTGTAGCAATGCTCCGTAAGAATAATCCCTGCCTTACCCTTACAGGGACACTGTTACTGATGTGGAAGGGTTAAAATTGGCTCATGCTTTGTTTTTTCAGTTTCTGACCAAGTTTGTGCTGGTCGATTCCAAGCATTGCCGCGATGTGTGGTGGATTTGGTGGCAGCCGTGGTGGGTGGGTGGTCAGGCTGTGCTCGGTGCCTCCATGGGGGATAAACACCCTGTGTCTGCAACGACTGGGATGATTTAATTGCTGGTAATTTCTCAAACAGAGCAAAGAGCGAGTGAGTTGTTGCTTCAGTGTAAAGATTCGGAATTAAAAAAAGGCAGGAGAGGCACAGGTGGAAGGAGGGAAGCTGAAGGATGGGGAATGGGGCTCCCACGGGTGGAAGGAGGGAAGCTGAAGGATGGGGAATGGGGCTCCCACGGGTGGAAGTGCAGCAGACCCGCAGGAACGTGTGCTCCTCCAGTGAACTTCACAGGCTGCTGCTTCTGCTGTGATGTGCAGAGATGCTCTAGCAAATTCCCAGTTGACTCCAGAGAGAATGGGCTGTGTGTTGTCCTAAATTTCATACCAGCCTGAGGACCTTAGCCAAGGCTGCCAAGATATGGATGGAATAAGATCAGCAACGACTGCTATGGATCACACCGACTTTAATCAGTATCGAATCAAGAGAGAGGCTGGTTTTTTCCTGTTGTAGAGAAGGTGAATTTTCGTGGCCCCTGTTTTTCCGTGCCAGGCTGTCTCTACCAGCATGTTCTGGGCAGATAGCCCGGATCTTGGTGGCAGATACATTTCCCAAGCAGAGCATTTGCTTCGGAACGCAGGGGCAGCTTCACAGCACGGAGACTCGACGTTGCAAGATACTGCACCTTAATAAATAACGCGACAGAAGCACAACGCTGCAGAGATCCTGTATGTTAGAGGGTGAAAGATGAGGAGGAATGTGCTTGGAGACTGGGAATTGTCCTCTGCAGCCGGTGGGCATTGCTGGCTGGGGAGCTGGAGAATTGCCGTCTCCTGTCGCTCTGGATAGAATCATAGAATCTTAGGGCTGGAAGGGACCTTCAAAGGCCATCTAGTCCAACCCCCCTGCAAGGAACAGGGATATCTCCAACTAGATCAGGTTGCTCAGGGCCTCATCCAACCGGGCCTTGAACGTCTCCAGGGATGGAGCATCCACCACCTCTCTGGGCAACCTGTTCCAGTGTTCTACAACTCTCATGGTAAAAAATTTTTTCCTAATATCCAACCTGAATCTACCTCCCTCTATTTTAAAACCATTACCCCTTGTCCTATCACAACAGGCCCTCCTGAACAGCCTCTCCCCATCTTTCTTGTAGGCCCCCTTGAGGTACTGGAAGACCGCTATAAGGTCACCCCGGAGCCTCCTCTTCTCCAGGCTGAACAGCCCCAACTCTTTCAGATAGTCCACAGGGATGTGGCCACCCTGCAAGTGGGGCTGTTAACCTGACGACTTTGTGATGGGAACATCTGGTTGGGAGTTATCTTACTGGATCATACCATAGACCGAAGGAATTTTGGGGAGCTGTGCATAGTTACACTAAATTTACATGTTGTCGTGACATATTGGAGCTTCCTGGGGAATCTCTACACAAAGAACCATGGCTGGGCTTGGGTGTCTGGAAATAGCAAATGGCTATGGGTGTTGCTGACTTCTTGGAACGCAGTCGCCGAGAGATCTTAACTACAAGTTCTCATTTTTGCTGCAATCTGTGGACTGAAATGGATTTTTAAAATAAGAGTTGTTTTTTTTAAACACGACACTTTTTACACAAGGGAATGTTGGATTCAGTTTATTTAGATAACGGAGAGCTCACATTTTGTGACAGCGTTTCTCCAGAAACAGAACCTGTGTGAGCGTGAGCACTATCATGAAGGCAAAATAAGGATTTTTAAGGCAAATGATGATTCCTGAGTCCAAGAAGTAACTAGGAAAAATTGAAGTCAAAAAAGTTTCAGGTCCTGCTTTTACCAAATCTCTTGTTTTGAATTTCAGTAGTCAGCAGTAGGAAGACAAATGATGCGGACAAATTCTTCGTATTTTATCGTTCCATTTGGTCCAACTTTGGCTTCTTTTAACAGGTCATCAACTGAAAGAAAGAATAAAAGAAAATATAAGCTTGAGTGGCCTATATTAAGGATGTTGTGGTCTTCAAAAGAAGAGCAAAGCAGGATTTGGGTTTTCAAATCATTTTTGTTAGAAGTAATAACTTCTGGGATCAGTTGGAGGTGTCATCCAGATGGTAGTTTTAAGCTAGCATCAGCTTGCACTTTGATTTTGATTTCCATGTCCAACGCTCTGGAGCAGAGATGTCCATCTCTGACCTCCACATGGAAAAGATTCACAAATTTAGTCCAAATCAGCTTTTAATCGCTCTTGGTAGGAGCGACTTGCTTGGTTTGAGTAGCAAACCTGTCCCTATTCAATTTAGACAGAACTAAGTGCTCACGCAGATGATGTGCCCGATTTTTAAGTAGATTTGTGTGACATTCGTTGGTATCAGTGGGCCTTTAGTTGGCACCTGGCAGCAGTGATGGTTTTCATTCCAGCTTTGGGAACGCCGTGGCAGTGATGGCAGTTATCTAACTTAAACATTCTCTTCTGTCCAGACTAAACGTGTTTAGAGCCTCTTGATAGACCGTTGCAACAGAGGGGTGGTACGTGGGGATGTGCTAATTGTGAATCCTCCCGAATCTCGTGGTCACCCGGCTGGGGCACTGCTGGCGTGCCCTCCCTTCCCGAGATGGGCATGGGCAGGTTGGCGGAGGCTGGTCTGTGTTTTTACTCATGAGCTACTTGGCCGAGGTTACCAAAACGCCTGAACGAGCTGTGGTTGGTTAAATAAGGCTCCGAGTACTTGTACTTGAGCACAGAATAAGAGCTTTGCAGTTGCCAGTTGTGAAATCCATGGGGAGGGTCACTGGGAGAGGTCTGGGGGTTAAAAAAAGCTGGTTTACTGTAAATAGTTGTGGAAGGTCTCCATGAGCAGCATAACCTGTTTCCTCTCTCCACTGTTCATGTGGGTACTGGATGAGACACTGTTTTCCCTCTGTTTGCAGTCAGTATGTAAATAAAGCCAATGTATATATGTTGATAGGACAAGGGGCAATGGCTTTAAACTGAAAGAGGGGAGACTTAGATCAGATCTAAGGAAGAAATTTTTCACTCTGAGGGTGGTGAGGCACTGGAGCAGGTTGCCTAGAGAAGCTGTGGCTGCCCCATCCCTGGAAGTGTTCAAGGCCAGGTTGGATGGGGCTTTGAGCAACCTGGTGTAGTGGAAGGTGTCCCTGCCCATGGCAGGGGGGTTGGAACTGGATGGTCTTTGAGGTCCCTTCCAACCCAAACCATTCCATGATTCTCTGTAAAGGGGGAAGCTGCTGCTGGCAGGACCTGGTTGCAGCGTGGAGTAAATGAGGGGCTATTGCGAGAGCTGCTGCTGTAAGGTAAGGAACAGTTCCTTCTTTCCAGGAGGTTTAATCCTCCTTTCGAAAAGAACACCCTGATGGTAATCAAATGCTTCTAAGGACATAAATTCAGAAAAAAATTCATTCTTTCCAGAACATTTAAAAATAACACGGAAGAAAAATGTGTCAGTTCTCATTTGGTAGAAGTACATTAAATTAAAATGAAGTAGAGGCTTTTCTGGAGCCACTGTAAGCGAAGGTACGTGCTGGTAGTTACCGAACAATCGTGGATGTAACGAAATTGAGTCTGTTCTGGCATCAAATATTTATAGCAGCTTCGGAAGCCGGAGCTCAGCACGTTGAGCCAAAGGGGGCGTTTCTTGTCGCTTCCGACGTTGGGATCTGTAGTGCCTGGTTGCAAGTTGTGAGTAGATGTGCAGCCTACACGCCAAAGTAATGGGAAATCCCCTGGCACCTCCCTGATCTTCTTCATGTAAGAGTGGTTCTTGCCAGCATGCCTTTAATTAGGGTTAGTGTCTCCAGGTCTTCACCGTTTGGAATAGCTCTGACTGTTTTCAGGTGGAAGGAGCTGCAGGAACTGTTATTCCAGTTAAACAACTGAAGAAAACACTGGGAAGAGACGCCTCGTTGGTGTATCACTCATCAAGCTGGTGAGGACTGGAGTGACCAACCTTGCTCTGGTTAAATCCGAATTCTGCTTTTAACGTTAGGAAGGACAGTTCTACTCTCAGCGAGCTCCTTACAACCCCCATAACGCTGGTAAAACTCCTTCCTTGCCTGCATCGCACCGTCGGTGGGATTTCCTAACGCTGCCTTGGGCAGAGCGCGAGCGATTCCGGAGCTCCGGAGCCCGCAGGGTCGGAGGGGCGAGAGCTCTGCGAGAGGTGGGGGAGAAGCCAAAGGTGATGTGGTTTGGAGCAAGGAGGGGACAGGACACCCCGTCTGCAGGGCTGATGGGCAGGGGGGTGCGCCCATCCTGCACCCTCTCCCTCCTGCAGCCTGTGGCAGCTGGAAAAGTGGGGCACGCGTTTAAAAAAAAAAAAGTAATACGTACATAAAATGCTGAAGGCAAAATCAGCTGTCTGAAAGGTTTTGATCATTTTTGGCTTCCCAGAAGTTCCCTCCTATTTTGCCTCTTGGAGGCAAACTTCTGACAAACAGGACAGGGTTTTTGGTGGTTTTTTTTGTTGTTGTTTTTTTTTTGTTGGGTTTTTTTTTGTTTGTTTGTTTGTTTTTTGTTTTTTAAATAATTAAATTAAGTCCTGGTCTCTCTTCCAAACTGCGCTGGCCGCGCAGCTCAGTGGGGAACGGCCGTGCCCCGCGTGCTCCGTACAGCATCCCTGGGGAAATGCTGGTGCTCCCTACAGCATCCCTGGGGAACTGCCGTGCCCCACATGCTCCTTACAGCATCCCTGGGGAGAACGGCCGTCCCCC